AGTAATTTATCTTCTCTCAAGTGCATCCATATATATTAGATTTTGAATATATAACCTTAAGCATTAGAACTGACATACTTGGAACGTACATTAGATAACACCATTGTTTTTTAATACTTTGTTATCATCAAAATCCAAGGAATATATGTCATGAACAAATCTTGTTCTAACCATTTTTAGAAGCATATAAGTAATTTTTTGACACTTGGCAGTTGTCATGGAAGGATAAACTTGCACCAACTTCAATCAACTTCCATTTTTATTGATCAGCATTGGGTTTCACAGTTGGTTGAATCTATTCTCCAAGCAGAACATTGGCAGGTCGAACATAAGTCTTATTCTCACTCATCCAATGGCTTGAACGCCCTTGGTATTTCTTGTAAGGAACTCCCCTTTTGTCTAAGGAAAATTGGGGTCTTCTTTCATCTTGAATGTTTTTCTTATGTTTTTAAGGTTTGATATTCTTGAGGCTTTTTGTTGCCTTTTTGTCGAACACTGCACTGCAAAGAGGACATAACATTACTTCAAAGGCTTTGATTTTGCATCGGTTTAAAAATTCGATCAACTCATCCATAGCCTTTGGATAAACTACTTTGATTTTCTTAGTGCAATCCAACATAGTTACCTCTTTGATCTTTGTGTCGAGATCTTCAGTAGCCTCGACTGTCATGATTTCTACAAGCTCGATCAGATGTGCCTCCTGGACTTGAAGAGGGCCAGAATTGATTTTCATTGTAGGCTTAGTTTTCTCCCCAAACTTGAGCATATCATCCTTCAAAACGTCTTGCACCAAATCCCTAAAAAGAACATATTTAGATGTTTTATGACCAAGGAAACTATGATATTTATAAAAATTTCTCTTCTTTCTTAGTTCCAACGGTAATGTCTTTAGGCCTTTTGACTCTATGATTTGACCATTAGCAACCTGAAGATAAAAATTTCATCACACTTAGTACATAAGCAACATTTTCTTTCCTATGGTGTCAATTTAATATAGCCTTTTCTAATCTAGCCTTTTCATCCTTCAGGTGTTCTACCTGTCTAACCCTGTCTACTAACTGGGTCACATCCCTTAGTATTGAGTATCTAACTTCTTCCTAATAGAATAATCTAAGCCACCTGCAGCCATTTTAGTTAACTCATGTTCAGATACTTGAGTAAAGCACTTTGACTTCATTAGTCTAAATCTATTAAGATAATCATATATTGGTTTGGATGATTTTCGTTTCACACTAACTAACTCTTTCAAGCTAATTTTCAATTACCCCACATGAAACTGCCAATGGAACACTCTCTCTAGTTGATTCCAATTATGGATGGAGTTTGGAGGGAGCATAATGAACCATGTGAAAGCGTTTTTGGTCAAAGAATTAGGTAAATATTTCATTTTTAAATTTTCGTTATTAGCCATATCACCAGCTTTTGTATGGTATCAAGCAATGTTTTCGACAGTAAACTCACTAATGTCACCAACAAATTTAATGAACTTAGGGATATTCCAACCCCTGGAGAGTTCACTTTGCAAGACATATTCAGATAATGTGGAAATGAAATTTGGCATATAAAGACCAACATTGAGACTCTCCCAACTACATGATTTAATGAACTTAGGATTTGTTCAACCATATTACTTATGTTATTTTTTTCCCTAAAATTATTTTGTTCGACTGGTTGAGGCGCAATTTGCGGTTGTACTTAATTATTAGGAATTGGCTAAACGAGTGTAGAAGGAACACCAAAGAAATCAACAATTCAACTTATTTATCAAGGTAATTGTTGGTAACCATGATTGATATTATGGATCAAAGAATTGAAAAATATACCAATTTGTTGAATAAACATATTAACCATATCATGGTTACTATTATCCATTTGTTGCCTTACATCAAAAAGGGAATTATTAGTTAAATGTGGTATAACTTGAAGGGCATATCTCAATCCTCCGCGAGATTGACCCATTTGACCAGAACTATTTATAGCAGATCCTGATGCCATGTATGTATGTAAAGGAGATGCAACTGCCATTGCATTATCTGCGTACATCGACATATTAGACTGTAGGCATGCCATCATTGCAGTTGACATGCCATATGGATACTCCATACCAGTAGGGGGAAGTGTAAACCTTGGAAGAAATTGAGGTCTAGAACCTTCTACAATGGTTTGCTTAACCAACTGATTGACATAAAAACTAGTTGGTGGTGGTATCATCATTTCTGGTGTTGTAGTCGAACACAACGTTGGAATCACAATAGGAGCAGTTACTCAAACAATTGTTGAAGTTCCCATACCACCAATCGTCGTTTCGATTGGTTATTCTTCTTCATTTGCAATGTTGTTTTGGGGAGGAGGAACTCCTTGAAGGGGTGAATTTCTTGATGGTCTAGACATATTAACAAGTTTGTCACTCCTTAAATGCATAAACACTACACAATTGACAACATTTAAATGCAAAGAATGAAAACAAATATAAAAGCATAATACTCTTTGCAAAATTTTTAATTTTTGCACAAAAATCTCATTAGATGTGTCAATTTATTTTACTCGTGTTTTTAGTAAACAAATCACGAGTTTCGGTTAACTTGTAAGATTAAACTAAACAAAAATCCTAAAAAAACATTTTTGTGTGAAAAGTTTAAGAAAGTATGTTGGTGCTTAAAAATTAACTATTTTTGGTATTGTAAACGAATAACCTAAGTCGAAAATCATAGCTAATAATGTTACTATTAAATGAAAATCATTTGTTAGATAAATCATAAAGATATAGTTTGAGAGATAAGAGGTAAACAATGACTAATCCATTGGTGCTGATTCTTTATATACATATGCCTAAGAAAACTATAATTCAAAATCTCAATATGACAATACAAAGTTTGGCATTGTTAATTAGTATTTTTGCTTCTATGCCAAGAAGTGAAAGTATCACATTTCGATGCAAATTTTACCATGAATTTGTGAAGTTAAGTAATGTCTATGTTGGTTTCTATTTTGAAAGAGAGAAAAAATTAAATATAGAGACGTATAATTTAATTTTGATTTTTTAGGGTCTGTTTGGTTCAAATGAGGGGGAGGGGAGGGGAGGGATTTTAATGAAGAGGAGGGGAGGGGAGGGGAGGTGAAGGAATTTTTTAATTAAATAAGTGTTTGGTTCAAAAGAGAGGAGGGGAGGGGAGGGGAGGGATTTTAATTAAAAATGTGTTTGGTTCAGAAGGGGAGGGGAGGGGTTTTATTAATAATTTACATTTTTATCCTTATGATTTTATATAAGTCATATGATATTAAAATGTGAAAAATTCGTGCGTATTTTTGTTGGTAATAAAATTTCTAATATTGAGTGATTAAAAAAAATATTTATTTGTCACTAAAGTTAAAAAATTGAGTACAATCGATTCGACTTATAACTTTCCAACATAAATTAAACTATATGCCAATAGCATCGTTTAAATTGTGATGAATCATATAACAAAACAAATATATAAAATAACTTATTACTAAATATTAATGGTTCAAAATATTTAATAAAATGAATAAACAAAAATAAATAAAATGATATGGTTTACAATTTAATATAAAAGAAAATATGATAGAGTACATAACAAAATTAAAAGAAAAAAACGAATATGAGGAAACATAATTTTTTTATAAAAAAAAGACAATGATTATGATTTATATTAATTATAAAAATTATAAAATAATTTGAAGGTGAAGAACAATTATAATAAATTGATGAAAACAATCGAGAAAAAATAGTAACATAAAAGATAACAAATAGTTTTGAAATAATAAAATTAAACTGAAGATATTTTAGTAAATATAATAATTTTTAAATATCAAAATTAATATTCTCTCCCCTCCAAATCCCCCCAATTCGGAGGGAACCAAAAAATGTGTTTTTGAGGGATTTTGCTCCCCTCCCATCCCCTCCTAAAATTTGAACCAAACATATTTAATTAAAATTTTCCCCTCCCCTCCCCTCTCCTCCCCTCCATCTACCCCGAACCAAACACACCCTTAATTTATCAATACTAAAATTAATTGTGATTTTTAGAAGAGATTAATTAGTAAAATTACTTTACTGATATTCAATTAGAATAAATTATTTTGACACATAATTATAGAATTAAAAATAAAAATAATTAAATTATAATAATTATTTCCTTCATGTTTCTCTTTTATGTGTTAAAATAATTCATTTTAGTTAGATGACAGTATAAAATAGTTTTAGACTGTATTCTTATTAATTTCTTTTTAGAATCAATTATGTTTGAATATGTAATTGTTCTGCAGTGTATCAACCAAAATTATGGTAAAATTTCTCATGTCATTACTTCAGTTTTTCTCACTTTTATGGTTGTCGTGGTTTTGAAACGTGAATCCAAGCATACGATGTATATTTCATAGAAAATTCTTGAAAATAATCAGATAACGTAGTTATACATACACTCAATCACAATTTTTTTTTTAAAATTAAAAAATAAAAATAAAATTTTCTCTCTTCTTCATATCAAACACTTCATAATTCCAATTAAAAAATAAATTAAATTTTAAATATATTTAAAATTTTCTTCCTTCTTATTAAATGTTTTTAAAAATATAAATTTAAGCATGTTTCCGTTCAAATATTTTTCATACATCATAACACGGTCTTACTTTTAATTAAAATTTTAAAGTTTCTTCTAATTTAGTTTAATCACTTTTATGCAAAATCGCAATATCTTTGTTTTGATTGAATCACTATGTATCCATTGCTCCAATTTCATATGCTGTTTTGGTACAGATTAATTTTTGTTGATTAATGTTGTTTAAGCACAAAACACTCATTTACACATTAATTATATTTTTCAGACATTTTCTTAAATCCAAAGTATATATAGTTTCTCTTCACATGTAAGCCAAATATTGTAGAACTAATTCAACAATACACATTATTGCCACTTTTATTTATTGATTAAGTCTACATCTTTTTTCTTTCTTTTCTTGCAAAACCCTCTAAAGTTTAACTACTTATCAATCTCTCTTTGAATCCTTACAACATCTAAGTACGATTTCCCTTGTAACTTACGTGACATGAATCCATTAAGGTAATCAACTACTCCAATTCTATTGAACATGGCAGGTCTTTCCGCAGTTATAAGACTTGGTGTTGGTCCTATAACTTTGCTCATCTGAGGCCTATTAAATGTTGCAATAGATATCCTTTCATCCTTAGCATTGATAGTTGCTCTATGCTCAATGCTTCTGTAAATTCCATTGGTCAATATCTGCAAAAGGATTCAAAATATGAACAATAGAATAACCAATTCAACCCGTCAAGACTCTGGTAGCTTATAGCAGATGACTATGTTTATTACCTCCAACATGTCTCCAACGTTGACGACGAAAGCATTAGGGAGAGGTTTGATAGGAATCCACATTCCATCTTTTCTTATTTGAAGGCCTTCCACTTCATTGACTTGGAGAAGGATGGTAAGGGCGCCTGAATCCGAATGCGGATTCAATCCAATGACATTTTCCGGTTGAGGACATGGAGGATAGTAATTCATTCTCATTCCTTGACCTGCATCTTCAAATAACTCTACTAATTCGTTTGTTTCGATTTTCAGAGCTTTCTCCATACTAGCAATTATTTTCACAACTGTTTTTTTCAGTTCTAAACAATAAGTCTCTAGATGATCTCTACAATGAAACAACCAAGTTATGTTTTAATTAAATAATCAATAATGTGTGACTAATCTAATTTCGAAATTGAGAAAACCTGAACGGTTTCGGAATAGAAGGAATTAGACGCGGATGCCTTGAGTCCAATGGGAAAGTGTTAATGTAAAACATGTCTGCCCATTCAAGCTTTTGTTCATCAGACACAACAAACAACTGACCAAACCCTTGCATATCATTTGGTGTTTGCCAAAATTTCTTTTTCTCTTCCATTGGAAGGTTGAAGAATTCTCCAACACCTATCTTCATATTTTCAACAATGGAAGGGTTCACTCCATGATTAATCAGCTGCAATTAATTTTCAAAAATATCTTATAATTCATAAATTAGTTTTTTAAAACAGAAATAATAGTAAACGTGGAGGATAAAAACTATGAACCTGGAAGAAACCCCATTCTCTGCAAGCGCGGTCGAGGTTTTGTAGCTCAGTTGTATCATCGGATAATAATTTAGTTAGGTCGATAACAGGAACTCGTGATGAAGAATTTGTTTTAGATACAATAATTGAGTCTTGATTTGGTTGAAGGTATTGTTCTGGAACATTGGTTATTGGTTTTTTTACTAACTCTTGAACAGATGGAACAAGAAGAGAGGTCCCCTGCATAGCCATGGCTGCTCTCTACCGTATTTGATGATTGATAATTTAAAGTGATAAGAATATGCTCTTTCAATGTGTATGTGATCCACTTTGCAATCTTTATTATCTCATAATATTTATTTTATTTCTTTAAAATAAGTTATAATAACATTATTGACTTAATAACGATTAACATTGCATTCAGTAGAATATAATTTTTTCTATTGAATTGCCTCTTTCATTGTTCCTACCTCTTTTTTTTTTCGAATGACATTTTATTTTGTAATTCTTGATTTTGATTTTTTAGGCACCAATTTTGAATGATCACAAAATACATTTTATTGATTAACACCTCAAATATATGTTTAGTTATAATATATTTTACGATAACATTTTTATGAATATGTTTTAAACCATTTATTTAAGCAATATAATTAACAAAGACAGCCATATCAATTTTCATGTGCATTGTTGGGGTAGAGGGTAGACGTCCACTAATTACTTAATTCACATAGAATTTTTAGAAAATATTAAAGTGTGGAAATGAATTTTATTATTAAGGCTTAAAGTAAAATATATTTTAATTTACAAAATTATTTGATGGATTTGACAATCTATATAGTTAGACGGATTGATGTCAAATGCTTGATGATGGTGCGCAACTATGTGCTTGTAGGTATGAAGTCTGCAACTATATGTTCTTTTGATCGTGACAACACTCTTAAGAGAAATTTTCATCAGTTTTATTGTTCAAGGCTTGTTGGTTCAAATGATATTGTCTGTTATGTTGATCAAATGATGTGCTTGAAGATCGACTAAGTGACGAGGATTGATATGTTGATCAAGTGATAGTGTTTGAAGATTGATCAAGTGATAGAGCTTATGTTGTATAGTGTTATATTTGTAAAAGGACCCACCTAGGTTGATGACTGTAGGGCGCCTTAGGAAAAGCGACAATAATATGTCGCCTCAGAGAACGTATTGTGTCGCCCCAAGGTTTTCCTATCGCTCAGTTATGGAAAATGTGGGATAAGACATTTCTTGGGCAGAGAGAAGTCAGGATCATTAACGGACTCATGCCCCCCTTGAAAATAGGGATTCAACGGTCCACCGTTGGTTGGGTGGGCGATGACCCTTTCCAAGAGAATCTTAGGCCTTAGAGGCCTCTATAAATGTTTTTCCCCTAAGGAAAGAAGGGACAAATCTTAAGCTATACAAATCATACCCCAACATACGCTTATACCTAAGCACATCACTCCATACGAGGCATCTCACCTCAAGTGATAAGGACCTTTAAATCACCGTAAAACATCATCATATAAAACTTATCAGCGTCGTAGACAATCTTTAACCACCATACACTATAATATATATATTAAAGCCTCTAAGTCCCTTTGCCCTTGCAGGAGGAACACACATACATGTACCTTTGTTTTTACATTTACAGTGGCGCCACTAGTAAAACTAACCTTGGCCACAACTTCTTGATTAACATCACCCTACTCATTGCTTCCCTCACTTTTACATACAACCACTTTCGGCCATGGTTAATAAGAGATATTCATCCCATACGCCAGAAGGTACCATCAGTAGCGGTGATGTCGACTCCCTGGACGAGATGTGTGCTACCATGGATGAATTACGCCACCATAACAAGACACTAGAGGACGATGTCCACAACATCATACAACGCCAATAACAATCCAATACCCTAAAAAATATGGAATTGTTGGACCCCTAACAACTCTCAAACGAGTATGTGGGTGCTTGTCTCTGAGGGATTAAAACCTCCATCATTGGCCAAGTTTGATAGGGGTAGTGATACCTACAAGTACGTCGCTTCCATCAACACACAAATGACCATCATAGGAGCGTCTGACTCTCTAAAATGCAAATTTCTATCTGGCACTTTTAGGGACGCCACCCTTCGATAATATATGGGTTTACCTCGTGTCTCCACCACAAGCTATCAGGAGATGATAAGTAAGCTTATGCACCAGTTCGCTTCCAGACGTCGCAGGAAAATGTCCACAACCATCATGTTCAACATACCTCAAGGTCTATTAGAGTCGTTGAGGGACTGTCTCTTTCAGTTTAATGAAGCCACCATTAGGTTCGTCCCATCAATCCAAGAGATGTTTATGGGGGCATTTCAAAATAGTCTCAAGGCGGGGTACTTTAACGAGTCTCTCGCCTAGAAGTTGTAACACCCTAAATAATCCTCACATATTTAATAAATAAATTATCAGATTAAATTTAAAATCACACATTTAGGATATCACAGTTCAACAAAATATGCTCCTACATTACGATATTGTCATACCCCAAATTTGTGCTACCTTTTTAAAATTTTCATTTATCTAACTTTATTTTCAGTTTGCATTGTTTGCATAGTATATGACGTCATTCATCATGAATAACACCTAAAATGATTGGCCAAAATGAATTCTTGGATATACAGATAGACCGGTTGAATTGTTTCTCAAATATGTGTAAAATCAGTGGATGAAAAGTTTCAAAATTGAGCTTGCAGACGTCAGTAATATTGATTTATGATTCACATAGTTTAATCTGACGCGCTCGTCTTAATTTTCGACGACTTTTTAGCCACATTTTGACCAGTCTGAGCCTTTTTAACGGTCTAAATTTATTTCAAAATCTGACCAAATGTTGTATTTTTCCAATACGTTTATTTTGTGCTGATCATTTTAGTGTACTAGCTTATTCTTTCAGGAACTTTGACGCCCGACTTTTATTCATTTTTAGCCGTTTTATTTTTATCTTTTCGCCAAAATATTCAGAAAAATGAAATAGAATTTTCCATGTTTGCATTTTAATTTTATCATGTGCATTTAGAAAGATGTGAATTTTAATTGATTTTATTTTATTTAAATCAATTAATTCATCTAGAAGGGATATTTTAAGAATTTTAAATTGTTTAATAATGTGTATTTCTTTGATTTAATATTGATTAATAGATAGAGATTAATCAAAAGCCCATATTAGTGATTCATGTGATTTTTGTCAATCAACAAAAAAAAATCAAATAATTTTAATATGAAGTAATAATAAAATCAGAAAAATAAAAAATATATATTTTCCAACTTTTGCCATCTAGCATTAGGAAGCATCTTATCCAAAACTCTCTCCTTGAAGAAAGCGACAAAAGATAAAAGAGGAGGAAGAAAAAATGGTTTGGAGGTCTCCTCTAATAAAATGCCACGCGTCCCCACTCTTTTTTACTTTCTGAGAACAACCTCCTCCACTCACAAAATATGAAGGGATCATGATATTTATTATCTCCACTCACAAAAAACGGTTTTGCCTTCACTCCACATCTTCAACACGACGAAAAACTCATACCGATTTGCATCGCCACCGCTGCTCTTTTCCGGCGTAGTAGAACCGTTGTTTCATCTCCCTCGAATGCACTGTTTCAGCAACACAGCAGGCCCACTGCAACAACAACATTTCATCAGCGGACGGAAAGATAACAATAACTCAATTTTGCAGCAAGAGTGGATCTATAACAAGAAGCATTCAAACCTTGTTCAAGCATATCGACATCGCGCAGCAAACACAACATCTTAGTGCGACACAATAACAACATTGCAGCTGAGTTTGGTAACTTTTCTATTTAAGCTTCCCTTTGTGTTTATATCTGTTTGTAATTATTTTGTTGACTTCAATTGATTGACTGCACGTTGCATTTGGGATATATTTTGTATTTGATGTTGGCTTGTAATGATGAAAACATTATGATGCTTGTTTATGTTTTTGTGTCGTTAATGCGACGTTTATGGCCGTTTTGTTCCTATGTAAATACATTTTGAGTGGCTTCTGAACTGATTTTTCTCTCTTTAGTGTGAGGGCTTGTTATTGTTGTAGATAGTTCATATTTGGAGAGTGTGTTTTAAGTCAAAGTTGAAAAGTCAATCAAGATTTTTTGGTTCCGTGTGCTTTAATAATTTAAGATAAAGATGATGAGAAATTATTGTTTGGGCTTGGTTCAACATTTAATTTTAAAAGTTCATTGTTTTTTTTTCAACACCTTTTTTGCAAATAGTTTTGTAATAATGTAAATATTTGTGTTGCTACTATTTAATACTATTGCATTTTAATCGGATTTTAAAATTTATGATTTTAACCATTCTATTTTGTTGTGTCACCAAAATTTGATATATTTATAGAAAATTTCATTGTGTTATAACTTATACGTTAGACAGTTCGATTATGCGGTCATTATGTACAAATCGGATATGGAACACATTTTGATTAGCTTTGATTATTTTTCATTTGACTTTGTTATTCCATTTTCATGTTTAATTAAATTGATTAATTAATTAAAAAATTTAATTAGTTAATTTAGATTAATTAATTTTAATTAATTTAATTATTTAATTTAATCAAATAATTTTGATAATTAATCTTAATTAACCTAATTAATTGATCAAACTTGAATCGATTAATATTGTTAATTAAAATTTGATCATTTTATATCAAACAATTCTCTCGTGCATTTACACTCATTTTTGTTGATTGAGCTTGATTTAATTATTTCACTATCTCATATCCCCCTCCGACAAAATGTACTCCAATTTCCATGAAGTGTAATAACTTATCGCTTTCATCTTGATTGTGTGTTAATGCTTTGTTCAATTGTTAATCACTTCAAGCATCACCTAAATTGATGTTATGCGCTTTAACAGACCTACACATGTGTTTGTGGTGGAAGAAGTCATTGATGATAAACCGTGGTACCATAACATTAAATGTTTTCTTCGAAAACAAGAGTACCTACTTGGGACATCAAATAAAGACAAGAAGACTCTATGAAGGTTGACTGACAATTTCTTCTTGAACAATAATGTGATGTACAAAAGAAACTTTGACATCGTCTTACTCAGATTTGTGGACAAACACGAAGCAAAATATTGATGAGAGAAATTCATGAAAGATGATTTGGTACCCATGCCAATGAAAATTCAATGGTAAAGAAATTATTAAAAGTAAACTAGTATTGAATAACAATG